ACTGATGCCTGGACTACAGTAAGACCTAAACTTGGGCTCGAGTATCTGTGCCTCAGCCTCGTGAGTTACATGTGGATAGGCATGCCATGGCAACGCTAATTTTTTTTTTTTAATATATATGTTGCCAATTTAATTCTATTTAGACGGCCACCGCTCAGGGACTCGACCTATCGGCTCGGCTCAAGTGATTCGTAACACAGCGCAGTAAGAATTGTAAATTTACCAAATCTGAGAAAGTATAATGGTTTGTTATCCGTAGTTACATTGTTTGGGCACCAATAAAAGATAGTGATATACCAAAATTCTTAACTTACTTTTTCATTTTTAAATTAAGCCTCGGTTTTTCCATCTGTAAAATTGGGTGTGATAATGGCACCCATTTTCATGGGACGATGGCAAAGACTCAGAGAAATAAAATATAGTTAGGCAACCTATGTTGACTTTATCATTTGGCAGATTGAAAACATGTCAGATATGGCAATTTCATATAGTTTGATTTAGTTTATAAAATACTTAAGTATAGGTCCTGTCACAGAGTAAGCACTAATATAAATGAGCTGTTATTTGTATCATTTTCATGTCTCTGAAGGAGCTAGGCAAGATGGCAAAATATTCATTTTCAAACGGCCGAGACAAGCTAAGATCAGGGGTCCTGGATTCCTTTTATTCTGTGTCTAAATACAAGTTATGGGGAGATAAATATGCATTATGAGCTGCTGAGCTGGGCAGCCGTTGCCAATCTTTGGGTATCATAAGCTTCTTTTTCTCTTTTCTCATTATGTAAATATGTTTTCATTGCAGTTTTAATATTCTGTGAAATCATAACACCCATGCGAAACAACATCCTTCCATATACTCAAGAAAATTCTGTAATTCTGCAAGATGAAGTATTGCTTATTATCATCCTTAAATAGCCATTATAATACTGATAATCATTTATAAAGTCATATAATAAACCATTATAATACTGTCAACTATTGTCAATTATAATACTGATGGAAATGAGCCTTATTACTTTAACAAGAATGTAGTTCTCATGGCAGATGCCTGTTTTCTCTGTTGGACATACGAGTGTTCCAGGGGGCCCAGAATCTATTCACCTTTTGGAGCCCTGGGCCAGAAAGGAGGCAGAGAGCTGGCAAGTGGTGCTGGCAGGCAAGACTTCAGATGCTCCTCGCCTGCAATTTTTTTGGCAAAGGGGTCCCTGATGCTGAATTCTATGACAGAAGGGTGGGGTGAGAGTAAGGACCTTGGTGTGCATTGGTAAACGTTTAACTAACCACTGATGACAGTGGCAGTGGGAGAGGGGCAGGGGAGATGGCTGTTAGGGAGGAACCCTGACTCATAGTGTTTGGCCATTTCATCTATGTAAATAACCGCCACATCCGATTGATCAAGCTTTGTGATGGCTACTGGCTTACAAATTCCTGAAATGTAACAAATTCGCTCTCATGGCCAGACAAGAAGTGAAAGCACACCAACTGGCAAGCTTCGTTAAGTACAATTCATCTCTGGAGAGGTCGTCTCTGACTGAGGCAGCGTGCTTAGTTGCCCACAATAGATTATCAGATTATGATAGAGATAAAAGAGAGAAAAAAAAAACATAAACTAGAAGGCCAGGCACTTTGGAGTAAGCCTGGGACGAAGAGGCAACGCAGATGGAGTAGGATCCCAATTGGTCGAGGCTCGTGTGTGGCCTACGATTCAAATCCTGCCTCTCTCACTTTTCTAGAAGGTGGGGAGAACATTTAACCTCTTCAAGCCTGTGTCCTGGTTTGTAAAGTAAGGCCCCAATACCACCCTACCTCAAGTGACGCTGAGTATTTCATGAGAAAGTACATAATACGCAGTTGGACCAGCTGCTCCAGTGTAAGGTGATTATTAGTACAATTTTTCCCAGGCACCACTTGGATTTCTGGAAAGCCCTCTGGAGAACTGGAAAGGTTTCCGTAGTTTTAGGTGACTGTTTGCACCTTAGAATCAGATTGCTGTGCTCCATTATCGTTCATGCGGGCAGATAAACAGTCGAGATCCCATTTCCAGTAAGCGCCCAGATGAGGTCTCCACCCTCCATGGCCTCTTCCTCTAAGCCAGCCGGTCTGACCTAGCAGCAGAGCCATCTTTTTGCAGCATGCATCCTTCCTAAATAAAGATGGCAGGTGGAGAGATTGGTCCTTTCCTTGCTTTTGGAAGCATTATTGCACAGGGCTACAAAAACACTCGGCTTTTGGTGGCAACACGATCTGGGTCAGACACTTGCTCCACAATTTGAGCTGTTGTGACTTTGTGATAAATTGCACAGTGCTCTGCAATCCCCTAAAAAGCTATTTAGCATTTACTTAAATGTAAACGTTCTTTCTTTTGTTTGTTTTGTTTTTGTTTTTTTTGAGACAGAGTCTCGGCTCTGTCACCCTGACCTAGAGTGCAGTGGGTCACCATGCTCACAGCAACCTCAAACTCCTGGGCTCAAGCGATCCTCCTGTCTCAGCTGGGGTATGCTACAGGTAGTGCACCACCACTCCTGGCTATTTTTCTATATTTTGTAGAGACGGGGTCTTGCATCTTGCTCAGGCTGTCTCAAAACTCCTGAGCTCAAGCAATCCTCCACCTCGGCCTCCCAGCAGTGCTAGGATTACAAGCATTGAGCCATGTGGCCCGGACTAAAGCCTCCATTTTAATGTCACTTGTTTGGAAAGGCTTCCTTTGATTCCCTAGACTAGATCCTATGTTGTCGCTGTCCATTCTACCATGGCGAAGGTGTGCCCTTTCTTCAGGAGCACATGCCAAAGTGTAAATACCCTCTGATGCATGTGATGACTGTATTAACGTCATCCCCCTCACCTCCATTAGACTACAAGCTTTGTGAAGGGAGGCACCCAACTCCGCTGAAGATGGCATCACCTGGTGTCCACAATGTACCGGGCACATACTATCCAATCATTCCCCCACCCCCCTTTTTTGGTGGAAGGAGGTAGAAAGAGAAAGGGGAAAAGAGAGGAAGGAAGGGCATTGACGGTATAGATCCAGTTCAAGGAGGTTAGAGCACATAAATGAGCCCAATAGAAAGCTCAATGCTAAAGTAGTAAGGAACAAGGCGAGTGATACAGAGCTTCAAAGGTTGATTCCTGGGTCGGGAGTGGGTAAATTAAGACTCCCTAGCTGTCAGCAGTCATGGCCTATCCTCGAATGGAGGAGAGGAAAGATTCGGTGGTCATGATGTTGAGTGGGGTCAGACAGACACAGGCGAACTGGCAGGAAGGCCAGCCCCAGCTCCCAGCTCTTTTTAGGAGAACCAAGCAATCTGTTGTCTTCCTTTCCTCACTCTGTCTTACCTTTCCTTTTCTGCCTTTGACAGCTAAACCTCTGGAGACAATATTCTTAAAACCACCTGAGCATGCATTTCATGTTGAGACACCCCATCTGTCATGGTCTCTCGCCTCCTCACTCAGGGAATTCAGTTGCTCCTCGCTGGGCTGCCACTGGCGCTTGAGGCTCCTTCCTCTATTATCTTCAGCTCCTTTGGGATGAACTTTTAACATTTTTAATCAGACATTGGCTTTCCTGCCCTTAAAGCCTCCATGGCTAATTTAGAGTATTGACAAGAATTCCCAACTGTGTTCCTACGAGACCCTCCTCCTGTGGTTCCTGCTGCCTTTCTTATTTCATTTCACACCACACTGCCCTTTACCTCTTCTACGTGTTTGCTTCCTCCTCAACCATTGGAACATATCAAGTTCAAGGTCTTTGTCCAAGGGCCAGGCCCTAGGGGAAGGCACGATGAGTCGTCACCTAAGGGGCATCATTCTCAGCATCATCCAAGTAAAAATCTGTTTTGTTTAGTTTTGTGGGAAGGGTGGTTGGTTGGTTTTTGTTTGTTTTTTTTTTTTTTGGTTTATTTTTTATTGAAAAATTTTTTTTTTCATTGTGCAGATACTGCAAGAAATCTTTTTTGTTTAGGGAAACTTAATTGCTGTTGGCACTGTCTAGAACACCCCAGATTTTTGCAGGGTTAGTTTTTCTTATCTCCTACCTCTTCAAATATTTTCCCAGATCCTGTTTCATTAAAAACACACACACACACACAACACACACACACACACATACACAACAATAGAGGCTGGGCATGGTGGCTCACCACCTGATAATACTAGCCTATGGAAGGCTGAGAAGGGTTGGATCATTTGAGCTCAGGACATTTGAGACCACGCTTGAGCAAGAGCAAGATCTCATCTCTACTAAAAATAGAAAATAAATTAGCTGGACAACTAAAAGTATATAGAAACAATTAACCGGGCTGGTGGCGCATGCTGAGTCCAGCTACTCAGGAGGCTGAGGACAGAAGACTTGCTTGAGCCAGGAGTTTGAGAGTTGCTGTGAGCTATACTGATGCATGGCACTCTAGCCCGGGCAACAGAGTGATACTCTGTCTCAAAAAAAAAAAAAAAAAAAAGCACATAGGTACTTCAATACTTCAGTGTCTACACTTAGATACTTTATTTTGGGTTCAGATGTGCTTTCCCCTTATTTTCTGTTTGTACATCTACTGGAGGGGCATTCCAGGGAGAGCAGAGGTCTGGACTGTCTTTATTTGATTCCTGTAATCACCATCTCCTAAAAAGCAGTGCTTGGGCTCAGTAGGTGCTCAGTAATTATCTGTTGAATAAAACAAAGGTCACATAACTCAAATGGAATTCAGAAAAGCATCAGGTGAGAAAAAATGTGGGCCTTGTCTAACCAGGCAAAGAAAAGAAGATCCAGCAAAGTACTTTGCAATTCAAACGTGTGGTTTCTATGCCTCCTGCCTTAATGGAGTTTCATCGTGATTGATGTTTGCCCGTGTGGTGCTTCATGCCGGATAACATCCTTAATAGAGAAATTTGTTAATCTTCTCCAGGCTGTTGTAACCTGTGTTCTATTTTATTCCATGTATATCTTTTTGAGTCAGCCAGTCCAAACATAAAATATGACATGAAGAAAGGCCAAAGAAGTTGCTCACATACCCCAGGGCGGTCCTCGAAGTAGGCCAGGCTGGCTTTGGTTAGAACGAAGAAGCGGACTTTGAAGTTGGAGGGAGACGTTCTTCTCTTTTGTTGGGACTTCTTGATGAGCTGTTCTTCCAGGAGGATAAAGTTGTTCATGATCTGATGGTTGAAAAGTGATGCTCCTTGGGCATCACTCCTTAGCACGCCCTGGAGGAAGCAGCTCTGGGGCTAGGAATGGGCTGGGAGGCAGTTGATCGTCAGAGAGTTGCTCAAAGGCAACTGGCCTCGTTATCTCTCTATCAGAGTTCAGTCAACTCGCGGAGCTTCCCGTCTGATGTCAAAGGCTGCAACCACATCCTTTCAAAATTCACAAAACCGAGAGGCACATGTAAAAAATACATGCACCCTCTGCTATATGGTTTGAAAATGATATTTTAAGAAACTTAGACTCGAAATTATGTTAAAAATCAGAGTTGAATCTTTATAGTTTCTGGTTTAGCCCATCTATGTTTAGCTTTGCTCGTTGTTACATATTCAGCAACCATCATTAAAAGAATGTTTAGGAAACACTTGGTGAAAGGATAATCATCAAGTTGGGTTGGACGATTAAAAGAAACAATGAGTGTAACACACTCTTATTGAAATGAAGAAATATGCTGAAGTTTATTCAATTTTTTAAAAATTTGGCTGGGTAGGAGGGATCATACCTAATCTCATACCTAATCGCAGCACTTTGGAAGGATTGTTTGAAGCCAGGAGTTCAACACCAGCCTGGGCAACATAGTGAGACCCCATCTCTACAAAAAATAAAATAGAAAAATTAGCCAGGCACGGTGGTGCATGCCTGTAGTCCCAGCTACTCAGAGGCTGAGGAGGGAGGATCAGATTGCTTGAGCCCAGGAGTTTGAGGTTGCAGTGAGCTATGATGACACCACTGCACTTAGGCCTGGGTGACAGAGCAAACCCCGTCTCGAAAATAAATAAATAAAAGTTAAATAAAAACTCACAGAAGTCTCTCAAGGCTACATACAGATGATTGCCATTTTACTCTAAAATTTTGTGGAAGGGCAGAAAGTAAGCGAATCTTTCAGAATGTCATAATAAACAGAACATACATGGGCTCTGAAAACAGACAAACTTGTCACTCACTGAGCTGTTTTTCTTTGAGCAAACTACTTTCCCTCTCTAATCCTTA